TGCCCAAGGCTGGTACAGAGCACCAATTCGTTCACGTAAAGACCGTCCTCGCAAAAGTTTGTAGACATCTGTTTTACAGCATTAGCTTCAGGAATTATAGTAGTTTATAGATATATGGTTTAAACGAAATCGTCCGTAATATTTCAGGACACGAACGAACTCTTCGACACGCGGGAGCATAAAACGTAAAATTTTGCCGAAAACTAAAGTAAGTGCGGCAAAAGGCTATTTCGACTTTATAAGAGCCGGGGACGAGGGAAGGCGCGGCGCCGAACCCTCCGTTTGATTTATGAATCCACTCGGTTTGCATCAGTTGTATTTTATAAAGAACTTTCAGACGTATAGGAGAGAGAAAGGATCACGGACCCGACGAAAAACGCACGGACTTTTTGCTTACCTACCCTTCGGAACTTATCTTAATTTGATCCCGTAAAATTTATGTCGGCATATTCATCTCCATCAATACGCGGGATCGTTCTTCGACACTTTGATGTGTTTTGTGATCTTCCGTTGATGAACTCGATCAGCGAAATAGTGAACCGCCCGAATATATATCCCCGTAACTAATGGGTCGTAAAGCATTGAACGATTGTGTACTCATGTCAAAAATAGATATCCGAAATGTCAATGAAAATGAACGGAATCATAATTTTACGAGACACCGTAATAAGAAACCCATTTCACTTTTATATTTTGACGTCGGGCAACTTCTTGATTCCTCCTCAAACTCTTAATTATATAAATATCTCATCTAATATTCTTTTATCTTATCTACAACAAATCCGGCGTTAGCTCGCAAGTCAATAATTATAGGCCGTTCAGTATCCTGAGCTGTATTCCTAAAGCGTTCTAAAGTTTAGTCTGCAAACTATTTATCTGCTGGCCTGAAAGGTTGCTTTATCGACCAACAATTTGAATTTCTCCCCCATCGCTCCACTGAGCTAAACTTGCTTACATTCACAGATTTTCTGCTGGAATCATTGTTCATGTTCATTGTTCACGTTTATGCCATTTACACAGACCTTTCAAAGGCATTTGATAGAGTATATCATCAAATTATAATCAAAAAATTGCGAAACATTGGAATCTAGGGAAAAGTTTTGAAATGGTTAATATCGTACGTTACAGGTATGCGCGTCCAGAGCTTCTAATCCATCGACATTAAAGTGCCTCCTGGTGTTTCGCAAGAATCACACCTGGGACGCCTACTCTTCAATGTATATGTCAATCATATTGCCTCATGTTTTCATCATGCATTTTTCATATTATTTGCTGACGACCTAAAATTCTATATGAGAGTCCAAAATGCTGATGACTGCATAAACCTCCAATCCGATTTTAATGGAATGAAACTGAATATTAATAAATGCCAACTAATGAACTTCAACCGGAACAGAAACCTCATACAGTTATAAGATAAAAGGGTTACCGTTATTGCAGGCCTCCATAATAAGGGATCGATATTAAATTGACTTCCACACACCATGTTTTATCCATTGTGTCAGTTTTATCTATTAGACAGTGGACTTCCAGAGTATTCCGCCTCTTAGATTACTGTTCTGCTCCCTCGTGCGTCTGCACCTGAATTATTGTTCTTCGTATAACGTCCACATACAAACCAGTGCAGCATAGGTTCCTGCGGTATATGACATTTAGGGAGCACCAAGGACTTGAGGACGTCGCACGCGACATAGGCATCTCACCATTGGGCTTCGCGCCAGACCAGAATAAAACACTCCTTCCAGGTAGTGTTCCTTCGTACTAACTATGGGCAGAGTTCTTTTCTTACTTGATCAGCCGCACTAGCAAATCGCTTTTCTGATCAACTTGACTGCTTCCAGAGTGCAAACATATTTAAGAAAGAGCTAAATGACTGTTAATGAAACTGTTCTATTGACTGACTTCTGTCTTGTATAACAATGTGTTGGTGCCTCGCTACTGTTATATGTGTTCTAACTGTCCTATATTAATATTAATATTTTGGAAAACCAATGTTTGTCACACCAGGATTGGGTCTTTATTTATCTATGTATTTCATTCTGTTTTGTTTTGGTTTTATTTTATTTTATTTTGTTTTTTACTATATTGTTTATGCAAATCTTATTTTCTATTGGGCGGTTGGCCCGTTGTTAATAATTAAAGTTTACAAAATCACATATTAACATGACAATATTAAAGCAAATGATATTTTCTATATTTTTCATCCTCAATTATTTACTAAATTGACATAATCTTGGATAATTTTTCTAGGGGTTGCAGGTATCCAAATATTTAATTGTTTAGACGATGGCAGATATTCCGCTTGCATAGAAAATAACCGTTGGCACAATCGTTTTCGATCTTTTTTCTGTTTACCTTTTTTGTTGTGTTTAGGGATGCGCGTCATGGCGATAATCTATTTTGGGTAATGCAATTTTTCCTCTGTTTTCATTGATATCTTATATAGACACAGTTCTTGATTCTTGCAATAAATGGTCGCTAGAGTATAATAAATTTTTGTGATGTGAATAAAAAAAAACCTTTCTGTAATGTTTCTAATTGTTTTAAGTGGCTCTTATATAAACTGCCTCAAGCTACTATACCGTACTGTAGTAATGGCTATACTAGAGAATACGATTTTCATATTTGTCTTATTTATTATGTTTGGCTTGAATTTGTGCACATTCCTTTTTTTGCAAGTTTGTAATTTACACGTTATATTTAAGGAAACGCTCCATTTCAACTCCCAAGTACCGAATATCATTTGTTTCTCACAGCTATTTGGTTTTTTCAACATTACTTTTAAGTCACTCTCAACCATCTTTTTTACCTGAGTCCACGAATCTGCTGTGTATTAGCACTGTGGCGTCGGCAAATGACGAAACGCGTCCTATTGACTTTAGTTCAAAAAGGTTGTTTATGTACATTAAAAACAACATCGGACCAAGAGCAATCCATTGCGAGGCTCGCTTAAAACGTCTTCTATTTTTACATACTGTTTGCGAGATTCGATTAAATTTTTCCGGATGCCTCTACATCCAAGACCTTCAAAAATTCTATAATCTACCTTATCAAATACAGGAGTTAAATCTAAAAAAAACTAAAAATATAAGCAAGTGTTGGAAACAGTTCAGAGCTGCACTATTTTAGAAATTCTAAATGGATTTAGTCGAGTCCTGAAGCTTTGACATTAAATTTTTAATTAATTTAGTGATTATTTGTGATGATAATAATAATGGTATTATTGTAATATAAAACCATAAAAGTCGAAGTTGAAGCTTAGCTTTATATCGTAACCTTATTTTATCCTAATTGATCCCAGCCTCATCTTGTAGCAGCCGATTTACATTATGAGATAAATAAACAAATAAGCTTTTTAAAAAAAAAAAACCTTCCACCAGAGCAATGAGACGATCTTACGAATCTCCGTATTGAATTTTAAGCTGTTGTGTTCTTTTAAACTATTTGGTACTGCTGTAGACCGGTAACATTTTATTCCTATAACCTAACTTGACCAATTTAGCGCCATCTTCATGTTTATCCTAAAAATTGTCGAATACACAGTGGTACAAAAATCTCCATATTTTTTATTTATTTTGGCAAACATTTTGGATTTGATCGCAGTTTTGGACTGAGTATTTTTAAAACAAGAAGTTTTAGGGTCCCGCTTAAAGTTATAACTATAAATTAACAGTGTTGAACACATACCAGCAAGAAATCTACTAACATTTCAGAAACGTTTAGTATTTTCTTATCTTTGTTCATAGAGGCTACTAAAAATTCGCTATGCAGTAGTTTTCCTATATTTTTATTGCAAAGGAACGTATACAATACTTCAGCCCATATTGCGCGTCAGATCATATTGAAGTTACAAATTGTTTTAATACTGCTTCGGCGCCTTGTAGAACGAAAATTGGAAGTTTAATATTAATCCCTTGTACTCCCAGAACTTCGGCAAACACCATAAATATTAAGAGCCAGGAAAGTCTTGATGCATTAACCTTTGGAGTGAGACAAATGGAAACAGATGAAACTAGTTTCTAGTTATGACCTGCAAATGCGCACTGTCAGTAGTAAACGCCAATTATCGTTACTAAGTTCGAAAAACCAATTAATAAATAACCAAAAGTAAATAAATTAGAGGTTGAGGTTATGTGAGTGACTAATGAGTCGTCTTGTACGCTGATGATACGCTGCACCTAAAATAAAAACACGAATTCCAGCATATATATTATAGATACCTAACTGTTTTTTTAACAAGTGCAAGAAAATCATCACCATTTTTTGTCTAAAATTTAAAAATAACTAATCGTTTTAGTACAATCAATTTTCCGTAAAATTTATTTCGATAAAGTCATGTACATGTCATGTACAGTACTGTAGTATCGTCAAAAATTCATAAATATTATATAAAATTTGTTCAACAATTTATTCTGTTTTCTATTCTATTCCCTACTTTCTACTTTAAATTTCCGGTGCTTTAATCATGGGTTTGGGAGCCGTGAGGTGTTTTCGATAGATTAGAATGTGAATGTGCTCCTTTTGTTTTGAAAAAATGGACCCAAATACTAATGGTCGTAAAAAAAATATGGAATAAAACACTGAATCTGCTTGTGCCAAATCAAGCTTGTGACTAAAGTGTAATTTAGCAAACTATGGATTTGTTAATTTGACTATGGGTCTGTCAAAAAGATTTAAGAAGAAAATATATTTCTGAACATACTTCTATTCTGTTACCCCTGCGAAAAAAAACTCAAAGTGTCGCAAATGGGATACGCAGTATACCCAACCCAACGATATATCTCAAGTAGCGACTGTTTTAGGAAGATTTATAAAAAGCACACTCATATGAATTAATATAACAGTTTAGAAGTCAAAACCATAAAAGGTTGTAAAAACGGTATATTGTTCGGCGAATTAATTCCGTGGTGTGGAACAGTTTTGAAAACTGGATAATATACTATTTCGTTGGCTGATAACGGACTTAAGCAATATATTATTTCCGTTTTGCCTTTTTTCAGGGGAGAGGCCGTTTCCTTGCAGTTGGGACGGTTGCGGCAAACGGTTTGCAAGATCCGACGAATTGGCGAGACACACCAGGACGCATACGGGAGAGAAAAACTTTGCTTGTCCCGTGTGCAACAAGAAGTTCATGAGGAGCGACCATCTAAGGTAAATCGCCTCAGGTTTGTTCCACATCCGTACGGTAGACGCTCGACATTTATTTTTATTTAGTTTCAGAGGCAAAACTGTAGAGTTAAATTAAAAAGCTGTTGAATTTCCTCAAACGGAGTGAAAAAAAGGGCGAAATTGCCCGGTCCTCGCCCGTCTTTCCTTCTCATAAAAGTATAATTGCATGTCGTTTCGCAAGCGAGCCGACTGGAAATTTTGCATTTTATAAATGGCCTAACGGGCGCATTGCCGCCTCCAGAGTCGCAGTCGTAAAATTGTTCCGAGATAAAAACCGTTCAGGTGGATTATCTGCAATTTAAAGAGATGCTCGTTGCCACATGTGTCCTTCTTTAAAGTACTATCTTTGTTGTAATTTAAGCTGCTAAACTTGCACAGATCGTATCTGTGACGTCACGCCGAAATTATGACGTATTTAGGAGACGCGATGAGTAAGGGTTCCGGAATCCCCTAAGACTCCCCACTAGACACTTTTTTCGTGTTAATCAGATGCATTCAGTTAGTCCGTGCATATTCGACGCGAGATGTCATTTATCAAGATAAAGATCAAACATCTTATAATAAATATATCACATAAAATGCATTTAAATTTCTTAAAATTTCGCATATATCATTTTTTTGTAGTGCAGTAGTTTTAGTATACATATCAAGCACTTCGTTAACAGAACAACACCAAAATTATTGATATGCTCGACTCTGAAAAAAACGGTTCCTCCCCTTGAGGAAATCTTAATGTTTCCGCTCTTTACGGTAACAGAAAGCCGAAACATCTCCAGACATTTTAGACAAAACAAACAGGATGTATAAAAAAAGATTTTTTTAAGGTAGTCGAGTCTGTGAGTTTTTGAAATCGACTTAGGTAGATCCCATATTAAAAGTAACCTTGTTGTTGAAACAATATGTTTAAATACTATTAAGTATTGGTTTTGGTATTTGGTAATTCTGAGGCTAATTACTGAGAGCACAAAGTTAATGTAAGGGAAATATGATGTGTGTAAAATTAACCAAAACCAAACAACACCCTATCAATGTTAATATATTTTTCAATATTTTCGAAAGATAAAAATACATAACAATATATGACACTTAGAAAAAAATGTGCAGCAAGGAATTATTAAAAAGTAAATAGTGAGTTGCTCCTCCACGTAACTTTTGACATTGTGTAACTCTTTCTGTTGATCTGTTGAACAGTAAAAACTGTCTTCTCGGCACCACAAAACACATTTAACAGGCTTGTATGTTACCCATTGTCCTCCTAATGATCGATCTGTAGACATTCAGTTAATGTAGGCGATAAGTTCGATTATCTTGCGGGCCAAGTGAGAAGGGTGAAATTAGCTTGCCAGAGAAAGGTTTCTAGTAATTCTTTAACAGTGAAACAATGTAATTAGTTTCTACTGCCCAGCAACAATAACGTGACTCGTCACTGAAAACGACCCGGTTTCTGATTAAAGTGAGCCGGTTCTTTACACTAAGCTATATCTATCGAGGGCAGTATGACTGTAGCATTTGTAGCAAGATCTATTTCTTCTATAAATCGTTTTCGTAGCTACCCTGCACTTATGCCCGATTGATCTGGTTGTGCTGAAACGATGTCTAAGAACAGAAAATATTATAAGCTGTGTTTCGCGATCATTGGCTCTCCTTAAAGAGCCAGTGCTACAAAGTGAATAGTGACTTTGTACAGACGAATTTTGTCAACATCACATCATTCTTGTAGCATTCCTTTTTCCAATTTCGTAAAAGAACATCCCAGCCTCTTGCAGGTCTACTATCCTAATAGGTTCAAACTAACTTAATTATCGATCCTCGGTACCTCTTCTTACAGTAATAAAACTGAAGCTTTCTAATTTTTGGGAGTATTAAAAAAGTCTGGCTATTTGTAAGCAGACTAGGACAAAATATTAAAAATATAGCTCAGATACACACCATAAAATCAAAATTGTACAAAAAGTAGTTAGAATGTGTGGTAAGGAAAAACCATCCGAAAGATCAGTTAGACTTATTCGAAAGTACTGTCACGTAACCGGCAACGTTGTATCGCTCAACCAGCGCGGCGGCCGTTAGGTTTTGAAAATGATTTATCGATCTATCAACGTTCCTTTGTTTTCAGCCCCCGAACTTTTCTCTCTATATATACGCCCGTTTCGAATCAGAAAATACTAAGCACAACACGACGCCACGCAGCCAAACAACTCCATTACCGTTATTAGAAAACTTTCATAGATCGCGAGAGCTCGATATCGACGTATACATCCCCCCGCGTACACCGAGTACCGTTTTGCCTCGAGACGGGCACCAGCATCCCTATCTCTCCGCGAGACGCGAAACATACGTTCCCTTTGCCGGAAAATCGGAAAAGTTACGCGCGAAGAGAAACGGCAACCGGGGTGGAAAAAAAGGAGAGAAAAGACGCCGTGGCCGCGCCTTCGGTATTTTACCGAATGATATTTTGTAAGCGGGCGACAGTTTTGCTTTATTGAATCTCTTATCGTAATGGCCGACGTTAACGGTAAATGAGGGCCCGTTTTAATAAAATGGGAAAACATCGCCGCGCCCTTAGTGTCGCGCCACTTAGACCCGCTCCGCTACTGCGATACAGTATGCGACGTAATGGAATGGGTGGAATCTCGGAACCTATTTAAGATAGAAAAACACTATTTATAGATGCCAACTTATTTTCATTGGAAAAAATGAGTGTACAAATTTCCTCTCGTCCATATCGCAGAACCAAAGATCAGAGCACACATTATAGATTATGGTTTGAAAGAGTTATTACTTATTCTAAAGCGAGGAAGATCCGTAACAAATCAATTGCAATTTACACCGATAGTCGAGCGGCTATAAAGGCCCTGCAATCTAATAAAATAACATCCAAGGTAGTTCTGGACTGCCATAAGGCATTAAACGAGATAGCAAGCCAGAACAAAGTTACTCTATCATGGGTACCGGGGCACGGATGGCATAAAGGTACGCAGACGACGCAGCCCGCGAAGGGTCGTCAATGCGCTCAATTGGTCCAGAACCCTTTTGTGGGGTGGCCAAACCCGTTGCAAAAACAGCCATCAGGGATTGGATGGACCGAGAATCCCGACGATGGCGAAGGGACATGCCGGGACAAAGACAGGCCAAGGAATTCCTAAGGGTCCATCGGCCAATTTTACAGCGGACATACTAAGCTACAATAGAAAATCCGTAAGGATAATGGTAGTCTGCCGACGGGCCACTGCAGGCAAGAGACATCCAAGGATGGAAATGGAAGAAAACACAGAATGTAGATTCTGTCAGGAAGAGGAGGACACAGCCGCACACGTACTGTGCCACTGCGAAGGCCTAGCGAGAGTGCGTTTCCATCTGATGGGCGATACCAAACCAGAGGCAGAGCTATACGAGGGAGCCATTATCGAAGTTGTGGAGTCTGGTTAGAGAAATGAACCTGGATAAAGCTCTATAACTATGGAGAGAGTCACAATAGATCCTCTGGGTCGCAGTGACGGATAGGCTGACTGCTAGCTCTGCCAACTGTTAATCTTAATCTTATTCTTAATCTATTTAAGTTGTGTCCCTGTACTTCATGACCAGGGTGCTACATCCGGACCTACGGATTCATTATGATCGCACATCTTCGTTCCTTCTCCTAGAAGAGTCCTGCACTCTCGAGAGAGTAGAATACCTGTTTCAATTAACTGAGCTCTTGTTAATCTTAATCGGCTACTCCCTTCTGTTTCTCAGAGTTCCATCTTCTATATCATAATACTCACCATCATCATCATCAGTCATAATAAATTTTTTATTCAATATTACATAAAACGAAAAAAACAATTTCTTTCTTCTTCTCAGACTTCCATCTTCTCTCAAAAGTTGGAAATCATCAAGGCCGCTCTAAATAGCTCAATGCTGCTGCAGCCGAACTAGTATCTCAAATTTCCCAGCCAGGATTTTCTCCTGTACAACCAATTATATGCCCTAGGTATTCAAGTTTCCTGTTTTTGATTGTACCAAGAATTTCCGGCTCGCATCCCATCCTTTTGTAAACGTCAACGATATCTTCCACCACGATATCTTCAAAATCCTTCTGTAACACAAGAGCTCAAACTCGATCAGTTTATTGACTTGCCTCTTCTTTAGCGGCCATGGCTCCATGTCATATAAAGGGATGGAAAATACGTAGCACCGAGGCATTCTCACATGCGGTATCAAACGGAAGTCCCTGTTAGTAGAGAACTTATTTCTTTGGTCCGATCCATATTTGAAGTTATCCACGTTCCCAAGTACTTGTACGAGTCCACATGGTTATTTATGCGGGCAATGCTTTTGGAATATGGCATCACTATAGACATTGAAGAGCAGTGGTGACAGAACATAACTCTGTCGTACGCCCCTCAATATTTTATCTTTGGTATATTGATCTTCGTCCCAGACTTTAGCTGTTTGATTCCAATACAGTGTTGATATTATGCTCCTCCCTAAGGGGGGTGAAACTGGTAAGACGAATTGTTTTCTTAGATGAAAGTGTCCCGTTAGGATTCCTGACAGTCATCGTAGTCGCAAACAACTGAATCCACTTTTCGTCTTAAGGCATAGAAAGTTCTTCAATTAAGACTCTCGACTGCCCGTCCCTGTAAACTCTTTCGACGAAAAGAATCATTTATTCAGCTCGTTCTTCAGAACACAAGTCTATTATTCTAACAGATGCAGGCCCAAATTGCGGTTAGATATCTCGGTGCTATCAATAAGCGGATACACAGAGTAGATTAATAGATTTGCCAGTGTTTCTCGGTAGTCAACTAGCAATCCCGAGCTTACGTTTACAGAGGCAACACTTTTGTACAGAATTTCACACATTACCCCGCAGTTTGTACCATTTTTTCTCTACAAAGCGATCTCCCAAGGCTTTTTTGGTCGTGAGCGTAATTTGAAATGAGTCGCGCATGTGCATATTAAAAAAAATAGGAGATAATTTAAGAAGAAATATTACGATT